TTTGAAATTGAAATTCTTTGGCTTATTATTGACAAAAACCGATAAACTCATACAGAAACAATATAACCTGATCGAATCCTCTTAAAGGTATTGAACGGATCATAAGGCAGGCATCTCCACATAAGGCTTGCAGAAGTCCCGCACACTCAAGGCCGACATAACTACTTCCAACAACAAGGGTTTTCTTAGGATTAGACTTCAGCGAAAATAAGTCATCGGAAGTAATGCCAAGTTCACTTCCAGGAATTGAAGGATACTTAGGTCGCAAACCGGTAGCCAATACAATATTTTTTGCCAGGATTTTATGCTGGAAACAGAGGATGCATTAGAAAATAATTTGCTTGTCTACTTTGATAAATGCCTCTCCATATCAGTCTCAAGTGCTATAAATTTTCTAACACTGTATGTCATTTTTGGAAAGCACTAGTAGCTTCTCTTTCCTATGTAATCACCATTTTTTTTTTCAAAAAGCAGGTAAGAGTGCAAAACAATAAAGTGCAAAACACTAAAACCTTCAGACCTAAAGTAACGCGTATGGCAAAAAAAAAAACATAGGTTAAACCTCCGACTTTTTCTTGACGCCAATAACTGACATAGAGTGCGAATCTAAAAAACTTGCGAACCCATTCACATAATCAACGTTCCTGAAAAAATGACTGTATAGGAGAACTCATAACCGTGCACGGGTAGGAGCCAATCAATGAGCTCAAAACCTTTGTAGTTACACCATTTTTGTTTTTAAAAAACTTTACTTCTCTCGCAGCTGTACGCGATATATCCAGTTAGTAGCTTTTATTTTGTTCTGAACAGCGGTTATTAATGTTGACCTGGAATATAACTCCAAAGTTTAAACCATTTTTCCATGAAAAAGATGCCTTCTTTAATGTCTTACCAGTCTAAATTTAAGTTACGGACTCCATTCCAACCATAACTTCCGCAATTTTTCAATATTTCGCCATTTAGAGCAGCTAAATGCATCAACTTTTTTGGAATACAGCCCACGTTCACACAAGTCCCTGAAATAAAACATTCATCAATGCTTATCCTGAAGCACCAAATGAATATAGATTCAGTAAAATAACTGAAAAGGTTCGTTATACGGATGGATCAACAGAATTACTAGTATAATAGTATAATAGTGCTTAAGGACATTTTGTTGCCCAGAATAAACTTTGTCTACTTAAGTAGCCATCGGTAGCGATACCTGTTGCTGTTGTTTAGACCCAAATAATCCCTCGACTAAATAAAAAAAGTACCACTCAAAGTAAACCTAAATATGTCTTCACAATGATACAGAATAATTGCTTCCCAAAAAATCCTTACTGTTTTATCAAACTGCAGGTTGGTCGGGCAAAAATACGGTTTTACTGTACATCTCACATCACTTAGTGTGTTTCTTAAATGCATTTTTAGACAAAAATATAGTGGTAAACCGAATGATATTAGAACAAAGAATTGACCTCCAAGGCCCCAGGTTGTTCCGTGTGGCGATGGGTTCACAGCATCAACCAAAACCACCTTTGCTCCTAATTCAGATGCCCTTTTGCCACATGCTAAACCTGCCGATCCAGCCCCTACTACTAAAAGATCACATTCTTTCGTTTTAGCATTACCTGCAATTGTTTAATGTCTCAGTTTAAACGTCGTAAAAGAGCAGAGAAGCCAAACTTGAAAACTCTGGAAAGATCGTTAGTGATGCTGAACGTCGGCAATATTGTTAAATAGTTGATTTTTAGAGAAAAATCACTTGTTAAATAACGATGTATTATTTTCAAACATTTCCAACTGGTGTAAATTCTCGAGGTACTCATAATTTTCTCTTCTAAATCCTTAAAGACCGGGTCTGTTCGTATTACGCATTTGCGCTAAAATAATCACATCATTAAGTAATGCCCGTATCAATTAAAAAAAAACTAAGGAAGATATTGAAATAAATTCATCGGGAAACCAGTCTGACAAACTACTATGACTCCGCTCAAAGGAACAGCAGGCGTGTAATGAACTTAGATCGCTCTTAAAAAACGGCGCATTCCAGTAACTCCTCTCAAAGACTAACTAAAAGTAGTGTTCTCTCAAAGTTGCGTTTTTCATTGAAATGAAACAATCACTTTTCCTGCATTATCGAAAAGCAGAACTATAATATTGAGTTTTATACATGCAGTTCCTCTATAAAACGCAATTAGAATTGTCAAGAGGTCCTACAATAAGTGGTGCTCCAATCTTCAGTAAGGTGGTAGCTCTGATCCCAGTTTTTTTTGCAGAAATTCCGCTGTATTAAAGATTCCCAAGTCAACCAAAGTTGGAAGCAAAATGGTGATCTCAGGCCAAATCTGATACTTCTTTTGGTCAAGCTTACAGAACTCGCTGGATAGCACAACCTAATCAGGATCTAAAAAGCCAAAAAGGGGATTGGATAGGTTAACTCTCTGCCTTATTGAACTTTAAAATATTTCTTCTTTAGATCCTGTGACTTTATTGTCTGCAATTAAAAAAACTAACTTAAATCTAAACATAATTCTGCCACCAGTAAGGTAAAATCAAAAATCTTTTCACATACTGTTCCTGTACAACTAAACTACATGAAAAGGTATATTTTACCAGAGTTTAACTGAAAGAACAAAGATCCAATTTCGCCCCATGAAAGACGTATCACGTAGACTTTCTGGGATACAAATTGAAAAGTGACAGAATCTGGAAATCTTGAGATCGAGACTTATATGAACTTAATTGAGATGATGTCAAAAGTCATGGCTCGCTTTTTAAACTAATTTTTGCGCTAAGGCCAACTTCCCAGTATTACTGCGCCTGAAGCTCGTTGGCAAAATGTTGGCTCATCTTTTTTAAACTGAAATGAAATTCATCAAAATTGACCAACTCGGCTCACTTTGCCTATTGAAACTCTTGGTCTTAAGTACTGCTCACTTCAGAAGAATTTGCAGTTTCGCAGTGCAGAAAACCTTGCACAAAATATATATTTCAAAAGAAAAAAAAATAAACTTATCTTAGTAACGCATTTGTAAAGCTTAATTTCTGATATATTCTGACTCTAAAAAGACTGTAGAGGAAAAATTTTTAACTTATGATTCTACAAATGGCTACTTTTTTTGAGCCTAAACCCTTTCATTTATTTCCAAAATTAGTTAGTTCCAAAAGCACGTAACAAACTTACAGGACTTGACACTTAGCGGTTGAGCAAAAAATTGAAAAATTTCGAAATTCAATCAGTTATAATTTAGCAACGAATTCAGTCATCCAGATTCTCTCTTCAACTCTCTAAACTCTGAGGCTGTTTCCAGTAACCAAAAAATTAAAAGACAATCCCGATACACTGCTGAAAAGTATGTTAACTAATTTTGAATCGCCTAAAACCCGTTTCCTTTTTAGATTTCTTATTAACGCTCAACCTGTATCTCCCAACATCTGAAAATTGTAATCTTCCGCAATTTTTTTCTCTCCTGACTTTTGAAACAGCAAACCCTATTCGTCTTTCTGCTAAAAAAGTGGCTTTCTTGCAAACTCCTTTTATTAACATGTCTCGTCAGGCAGATTATCACGGCAACTCTGGAAGTAATCTATATAACGATAAACCGTACTGCGGGCTACAGAGGAAACTAAAGTTTCTGTTCCATATTTCTGGTAAAAAATCTATAACATCCCCTATGCAAAGGTGTAGTTGTTTTACTAGCACATAACCAAAATGACAACTTCACAATTAATTATAGGCACTGCAATCGTCATAGCAAAAATTTCAATCAGTAAAAACTACTTTCATAATTCTGTACCAAAGTGATGGAAAAGACAAATAAATGTGTTTAAACAAGTAGAAGCAAACAAGAGACAAAAAATTAATAAAGATGTTATCACAGATTTATGTAAGCCTGATATCATAGCACGTCATTGTCTTCAAATCATAGTCATTACATATAAAGAAATTAATTTGATTACATAAACTACAGACAGTATCTCCTCAATGCGGCAGTAGCTCCATGAAAAACCTGACGATCCTTTAGTGTAAAGTAAAGTGCGCTAGGATGTGAATTGGCCCAATAATAGCTTGCGTTTTCAGCAGAAGAAGATAAATCTTGCAAATTCAAAAGCCAAACACTAAGCAATTTAAAGCCAAAGAATCAAATAAAAAAAGAATATATATGGTAACTAAGCAAGAACATTTTTGGACAGTTCCAAACTGAAAATTAAGGGAGCATTTGTTTGAAAACAAACCGTATCAGCTTCAATTTTATTTGAAACGCTGATACAACCACCATATTCCAACGAGGCATTCTCTGAAAAATTAAAAACATGACAAACTTATAGTACCGTAAGCTGTAACAAAAAATTTTTGAAAAAAAGCATAAAAGTTAGCAACTGCTTTTGCGCAGAGGTTGTACCGAAATAAGATAAGCTAAATAAGATGAATAAGAACCAACCAAGATTCCACTTAAACCCAACTGAAGTGACTGTAGTCGGCTTCTGACATAAAGGCATGAAGCCAGCAATTCCAGTTAAATAAGGTTCATGATTATCGAGGTATATAACTGTAGTCCCCTTAACAGCTCATTCTCACTGTTTAAAAGTTCATATTTTTTCAAAAGCTTGCTTAATTCTGCTTACTTCGAACGCAAAGAACGCTTAACATCAAAGAAAAAAACCTTATGCAATAAAGTAACCAGATTGATGTCATCGATGATAAAGACTGGACAATCGCAGATCGAATGAAAGCGGAGAAGTGCATCGAATGAGGATAATGTATGATCTATCCGCCCTGAGAGACCTCCAAGAATCACAAGATGCTCAATCTAGAAAATTTATGCCAAATGTCAATTAGGGTAATGTAGTATATTTGAACTACAAAAAACTGCTACCTTCAAGTTTTTTTGATTAATGGTATTTGCCATCAATTTTAGAGCTTTCCAAATATCCGGGTAATCCTGATCTGGGGTTTCTTTAACAACGACACCATTTTCCTTGAAAAAGTGTAATGCTTCACTAGTTATTGAATCAAAATCACCACAAAGAAGTTGCGGCAACTTTACACAGCGGTCCCTGGAATAAATAAAAGTTATCACAGCTTCTAATAAGCACAACAATCGTTAAGCCAAAATCACAAGAACTTGCGTCCACAACATACCTAGAGCAAACGAGAAACGCTAAAGCTGAACACGGTAAAAAGAAAAACCGGTGAACGACAAATGACATGATACTGACCTGACAAGAACCTGTAACATATTCGCAGCCCCATCTGCACAAGCTCGATAAACTCCACCGTTCCATATTTTCATCCAAACTTGCGACCATTTTTGACTACCATTTAGCACAAGTACGGCTGATCGTTCTATAACAGTCTGTTATTACAGCCTAAACTACATTAATTTAATTAAAAATAAATGAATAAATTTATACAAACAAAGTCAATTGCATTTTTGTAATATTTGAGGACCAGCAATAAACACTGCACAATTAATTCATTCACCAAATTTAAGAAAATAAAGTGTTTGATATACGTACATGTAAAACATTTGAACCAACCAAATTTAGACAAGCATTCCAGTGGGTGCAAAACTGAAGCTCCAGCAGTGTCCATTAAGAAACAGAAATCTAAAAGTATCTGTCAATCACAAAGTTCTCTTATCGATCAAAAAATTCTTACCGATAAAATAACTGCATGTAAAATTAAAATGAGTACAGCAAATGACTCAGTATTTCATAAAGTAAATCCGTACGCTACATACAAGTGGCAAAGTAAAATAAGCGTTCATTGAGATCCCTTATTTGCCTTGAAAATCTTAGTTTTTTTTTTTTT